ACAGCGTTGTCTCATTTCCCATTATGTATATTTTTAGCAGTAATTTTTTGCCTTAGCAAAAGATTTTTCACTAGTTTGTTCGCTACAGATTTGTTAGGAACATTTAATCCAGCCAAGAAGTTAAGCAAGTTTCCTTCTATTTTTAGATTGCTAACTGTACCAGAAGATGCTACATTTATCAAATGCTTTTTCAGCATGTAAAGACGATTGTATAATTCTTTAATCTGTTGACTTAGTGAGCCACGGTGAGTTACTGTTGACTCATTCTTGTAGTCTTGGTAAAAATTCTACTTGCAAATTACACATTTTCTACTACACTGCTGAATTCAAGTTGCTAGTTTTATTTTGGCTTTTTTGCACCTACAATAATTTAATTTGATTTACAATTTTCCTTATGTTTTATTTGTGCAGCTTTGGTATCAGGATGAAGCTAATCATGGGGAATAAATTAGGAAGTTTTATATCTCTTTTCTGTCCTCTGAAATACTTTACAAATAAATGTCCCGTGAAGGTGTTTCTAATAGTATTTGTCTTTTTAAAACTTCTTGTCCTATTTTTCCAATTTCTCATAAGATGTTTGGTTTATTTATATTTTCTATCTCACCAATTTTTACAATCTGAATTTTTTAAAAAGCCATCATATTTCTAGTCTTTCAAATTTACTGGCATAACGTTCATTATACAATCATATTTGTAGTGAATTATAAATAATGCTCTTGTGTAATTAAAAACATGTTTTATTTGTAGGAACCGTTCTAAAAATTATTCCTAATGTTGGCAATTTATCATTATATTTTGCTTTTTTAAATCATATTTTCAAGTTTGTCTTTTTTTTAAAACTTTTAATTTTACTGATCAAAATTTGTTTTCTATTTTATTAATTTTGTTTCTAGTAATTCCTCATCTACTTTTTTTAGCTTTAAATTTTTACTTCATCTATTTTCAGTTTTCTTCTGAAAAGTAAGTTAAAATTACACAATTTTCTCTAACATGTGATTTGGTAGAATCTCTCAGGTTTAGAGAAGTAGTTTGCATTAATCCTAAATTGTTTGCAATTTGTTTTGATTTCTCTTTTATTTAGGTCATTTAAAAATTTCCAAGTAAATAGGCCTTTTGTTATTATTTTTATTACATTATGCAAAGAAAATGTAATCTGTTTGATCTTTGTATTTTGTTTTTCCACCATATGAATCATCTTTATAAAAGTTCCATAGATTTTCCAAAATAATATGCTTTGTATTTATGATGGGTACAAAATATTTATGGTAGGTAAACACACACACATCTATATTTGAATTAGGCTGATTACTGGATATAGTACTGGTTAGATAAGCAAGAGTAATTTTTGACTACTAATAAGCATGTGTGAACTTAAGGCACGAGTATAAGCTCTTTATGCTACAGTATTACATCTGACATAGTGTTTAAAAACAAACAAACAAAAATCCTGTTTGCATACAGATTGTATATGTTTTGGTAAACACTCAGTAAAGGTAATGATAATTTCTCAGTAAAGGAACATATTTGTAACCGTCTCTAACCTAAATGAAAATACTCAATATTTTAATTAAATGATATAACTTCACATATAATATTGGCAATTTAAGTCATCTGAAGAGCTGAAATTGTACCTATTAAGCAGCAAAATATCCATATTTATAATTCTTAATGGAATCATTTGATAACATGTATGTAAAATATGGAAGAAATTTAAAACTGTGTGTATGTGTGTATGTCTTAAAAATCTGTGGTCAATGAAAACTGAGGCTATCAGGTATACACTCATTTAACTTCCAACTCTTCCCACCTTTATCTCCCTCCATACTTACCAGCATCACCCCTACTCTAACAGTACACAATAATTATTACTTTGCAATGTGCCTCCATGCTGGATTATTTTTCTTATCCATGACTCTTTCTTAGATTTTCTAAATTACTTATCCAATCATTTTATACCACATGCATATGAGACACCCCAAGTTCACTGAGAAATCAAATAATCTACATCCCCATCTGTTCAGATCTTTTTCTTTCAGTCTTAAGAACATTAAGGCATCCCATGCTCCCTTCTCATTGAGATCCTGCTGCATAAATGAGCCTTGCCTCTTCCTTTAATTGGTTCCTTCCGTTCACCTTATAAACATTTAAGTCCCTCTTATTCTAAAAAAAATTTCCCTTTGGCTAACTCCATTTCCTCTTCTCACCCAAACTTCTTCAAAGAGTAGCCTGTACCCATGTTTACATTGCCCTCTCAATTTACTGCAATCTGGCATTCCCCTTAACCAATTCAGTGAACTGCTCTCGCTAAGGCCACCTGGCACCTGGCTGCCATAAATCCAATGGTCACATTCTCTGCAGCATGACACTGTATCCTAATTCCTCCTTCTTGTGACTCTATTAGTTATTTCTTTTTCAGAATCCTTTCTTTGCTTATCACTTAAACTTTGACAGTCCCAACAATTCTGTGGTTTTATCCACTTCATGATTTTTAACTTGTTAATATGCTTATATGTGCTGATGCCTTTCAATTTTTTTGTCATCACATGCATATCCAATCATCTACTGGTCACCTCCTTTTGAATTCTACAGGTGCTTTCAACATGTCCCAAACTGACCTCTTCTTTCCAAAGCACTTCACCTCACATTTCCAGCCTCAGTGATAACACCATCCAACTTTAGTCACACAAATGGAAGTCCATCCTCTGCCTCCCACTTTTTCCTTACTTTCTATAACCCATTACTAAGTCTTGCTTATTTTTAATTTCCTAAATAGGATTCAAACTTATTTCCTCCCTTCATCTATACCTTATTTGAGATCCCTTTTTCCTCGGGCTATTGCCTAAACTGGTGTTTGGTGGAACCAGTGGCTAGGTACTCCTATTAAAAAAGGATTCTATATTCAAATCTATTTGAGAAGGGCTACATACTGCATGCCTGCCTTGAAGATTCAAAAGGAACATTAACCTCGAGCAGTCCTGAGAAATCCTACTGTAAAGAAACCTGCTCAGCCGGGCTCGGTGGTTCAGCCTGTAATCCCACGCCTTTGGGAGGCTGAGGTGAGTGGATTGCCTGAGCCCGCGGGTTCAAGACC